AACCGTTTCTATTTCTTTCCATAAAAATTCCATTGCCATTTTCACGGAACAAATTTCATTGTACAAATATCACGACGCAATGCAACTATTGAATGACAGATGGATCCTACCACAAAAATTCTCCTCTATTTGAAAGTGATTGTTAAAAAAAAGCAAAAAATTGCCGCGCGAGTATGTTTTTCGACGAGCTTTACTGCACCCGAGATCAAATCAACTAGTTAATTAATGAAGTGAAATGTCGAGAAACGCTCTTCTACACCGAAACTAAATACTCGTACACGCTACTCGTTCGTAATTGATCAGTAAATGCATTCGATAGCGCGCCGAATCCTTGCTTTTTGGAACACGTTTGCTTGTTAGCGCGATCCGTTTTCCAATTTGTTTTAGAAAGACCAACCACAAAAAAAGAATCCAAATAAATGCGCTTTGTTTTTAAGAAATACTTATTTTTCATGTTACTATTACATATTGTTGTTTCTAAACTTGAGATCGGAATACTGTTTCAAACAAGCAGTTCAAATATTGATTGATAAATTTTAATTACGCTTTTCTATATTTTTTTCATAAAATAATAACTAATTTTAAAAGTACATTAACAAAGAATAGCAATATGAACAGCAGAATAAAAAATATGCTTTTTACTCGATTGTGAAATAATGTAAGCATCCATAACAATAAAAGTAGGAAAAAATGTAAAATATGTTTTTATTTTCACGTGGAAACCATTTCGCGACCATTTAAACTTTTTTCGCGGCTTACATTTTATTTTATTCTCATTTTTCTAACGCAGCGTGGAAAACCGTAATGGATGGAAGAAGAAATGCAAACTTAAAAAAGAAGGAGCAGAAAAGAGGAAGAGTACGCTATACCGTCGTATTCTCGTTCAGAAAATAATTATCTCCTTTTAAAATTCCGAAAGAATAAACAGACGATAAAATAGGCGGCATATACGCGTCGATAAATTCGTAATTGTACGGTGATACACGCGATTAACTTCACTAGCTATCCCACATTTCCATAATCTCGCCAGCTGTTTCTATCTGAATTGACCCGCCTTACGCTCGCGTGTGTGGCTTTCGCCTATGTACCGCATATGTGCTTTCTGAGAACGCGTGGAGAACGGAAAAAGATCTTGATACAATTAACGAAGAAATTTTCAGCAGACTGCAACGTGCGCAAGTTTCACGTGCAAACGTTTAATAAGAATAGATAGAAAGTGAGAAATACAAACGACCGCTTTTCTCTCTTCATTCTCGCCTCACACAACCAATAGTTATTGCAGCAATTAAACAGATAAGCGATAAGATAGTCACATTTTCTCAATTTATATAATATACGGCAATGCATCATGAAATGATGCAAAAAGCATATTGCTACTTTAATAAAATAAAAGAAATCATGAATATAAAAATTATGTAAATTTTAAGTATAAGTATACATTGAGTTAAAATTATATTTTGTTTTATATCATTGTATACAAAATGTGTAGCATTATAAATTTAGTAAGGTACAATTGGATCTGTGTAATTAATAATTTGGTAACAATAACAATAACAAAAAGACAAAAACTAATAACTTAATAGAAAATATATTTCATGACCATATTTAACATTTACTTGTAAAAAATAATGTCATGTAAATGATGACTGCCTGCATAATTTGTTATGCAAATGTGTTGTATTAAATTATTACTCACCGGTCGACGAAACGCCACTGATCTCTCACCATCAATTCTATTGTTCTGGATATTCACTTTTGGACACAAGTCGATCGAAAAATTGCGCTAATTACGATCCCACATTGTTAATAAACACAATACGATAATCGTTCGGCACTCTCGATGTTTATAACACACGCGATGCATTTAGAACGAACAAATAACACGGAATGCAACGATGGCGGTGTTTGCTTACTGCACGCTTCGATATAGGAAAGAAAAATTTTAATTATTCAACGACAGCTTCATGCTATTCCGCGATTTGCAGCATTGACTCGCAATGACATAACCTTTAAAGGTTATAATCAAGAAATGGTTAATAGGTCTCGTTATTACGTACCTAAGCACTCTGAAAGTCCATTTGATATTTGCATTGTACGATCGCGATGTATTTTCAACGAGCAGTACTGAGAATGATGCGTCTAAACAACTAAATAACTAAATAATTATTACTTCGATAGAAGTTGACGCCAAGTGAACTCGACACGAAGCGTTCGCGTAACAGTCGCGAATATCAAAGGATACTATTAATCGCGATTACGTTAATTAATACTTCAAGATGATCACTCATTACTGAATTAGATATTTCCGATACTCGTTTCCGATACAGGCTAAATGCGCGGCAATGTAACGCGATCGCGGCGACGACGGCGAAATCGCGGGACACGTAGGCTGCGTTCCGAAATTCACCGCCAGTACTGAAAATCTACAATATACGTAACGTAAACTGCAGATTTTCAGTACTGGCAGTGAATTTCGGAACGCAGCCGTAAACTCTCGCAACGTACTTCGTGGAAGTCATCGCGTTAGTCAAAACAACGCTTGCGTTTGAGGGTACACAATCAGGTTAATAATTTCAATATCATAATAATGAAATGTAATGTAAAAATTATCCATGCCGCGTTCGCGTATTTGAGCATATTAATATGTAATTATTATATTTTATAATTTATTCATCAATTGATGAATCAATATTCACTAACGTTATAACCTCTTCGCTGAAATTTTCATTTCTCTGACTCTAATAAACGCGATGTGATGATCTGTCACATTGTACTTTTAACGTTTAATATAGATGCAATGCATTTAGAACGAGAAATTAACGCAGAATGCAATAATCGCATTATTTGTTTATTCATTACGTATTTCGATGTACATACAAAAAATTTGTTGTCCAACGGCAACTTTACGTCATCTCGAGTCTTTAATTATACATTTTCATCACGATGTTGCAAAATTAAGATCATATTAAGTTAAAATTCTATTTATTATCACATTGTTATTATTAGGCTCGAATATGCGACAATGCTATTAACTCTTACTTTATGTACTGAGTCGATACATCATTAGTTAATTTGATTAGTTAATTTAATTTGGTACGACATTATTAATCTCGTATACTTTCAATTTACTATTTTGACTTTAAATTCATTAACCAAGTTGACTTTTGAGTTAACTAAAAAAGTGTTTCATAACCCAGCTATAAAAATTTATTTAAATAGCTCTAAATTTTGTAACCAACGATCATAACACGCGAGTGCTCAGAGACATCGAGAGAATGTCCAAAATTTATCTAGAAAATGCCTAATCGGTAATTTAAGGTATAAATTATACACTGTGTAATATATATATATATTATACATCATACCAGTTTTTAGTTTGACTAGTGTGGTCACTTTCACTTGATTACGTCATCACGAAGCACTTAACGACAGTTAGATGTCTCACTACGATCACTTCGTATCGTTGTGCGTTAGCTTGTCGAAAACGACCCTGTGTCCACGAACGAGTGTCGGAAATATCGAAAAAGTCAAATCGGTAATTATTTTAAAATGTTGATTAATGTATGCAATAGCAACTTTACCGCAAGTGCTTCCTTTTGAGTCCACTTAGTGCAGCTTTCATTGAATCTATGGTGCAATGAGATGCATCACTCATGATTACTGCTTGTTCGAAATGAATCGCGATCGACCATTGAGTGAGCTATCGAGTGAGCTTTCGGAGTAGTTAAGTAGAGTAGTTAACGTTAATAATGATTAACTATTTCTCGATTATACGAGCTTTTGGCGATTATGTCTACCATCGCGAATCAGTGCTACAAATTGCGAAACAACGTAAAGTTGCCGTCGGCAACTTCACTGGCGGATTGAAATTATCGCAGATTTTTAGATGAATATTCATTGCAATAATATGCATTTTTTCCATAAACTTTGTTTTTTTGGCATTTATATATTATTCAATAGATGCAAATATATTTTACTAAAACATTAAAATATAAAATATAATATTATTAGAATATATAAAAATTATTTGATTTATTAGTTATATTAAATGCAAACAAAAAGCAGACGAATTAATAGAATCAATGCAAATATGCGAGAGTAACTTATTTTAATTACATTTTCTGCATATTGTTCCTTTTTTTCTCCAAACCAGAATATACACGTATGTTATTTTAAATGCAGAAAGTGCAAGAAATTACAGCCAAAAGAAACAGACATAATACTAACATTTTTATTTTGACTTTTGAATTGTCGCTGGCTGGCACAGTAAACAGTGCAGAGTGCTCGTTTTTTTTTAACGAGTCATGTAATCACCAAGAGCTTACTTTTCGGTAAACTTTTTTTTAAAGAAAAAGTGATATTGCCCTCGTATTTTATGTGTGCTTTTTTCGTTTAGAACAAACCCATGTGTAAAGAAATGTTGAACAAAGTCAAAAACTGAATAACATTAACTCGTATTGTATTACAAAATTTCAAAATAGCAGTGAATAAGACAAGTCATGTTATAATATATAGTGTAATATGTAAATCATAGTTATTTAATTAGTTTATATAGATAATGTTGTGTTTTTCTTTTTTTGTGCAAATTTAGAACAATACATATTTTATTGCATAAAAAATGTAAAAAAATATAAGAAATTATGACTAGAAGAAATAGATTTAATATTATCATTTTTATTCTGATTTTAACTTGGCGCCAGCTAGCAGGATGGGTAACACTGTAAGATGCTTGTTTTTCTCGATGAGTTACGTACGCACTGTTTACTTCACGTCGATTCGGAGAAATAGCGGGATCACTCGCGTTTGTTTCGTGCCTTGTGCGACTTGTGTTTTCTTTCCACTCGGAATTAACTAGGTATCTAAGGTGACTACGTATTAGAATATTTCGAAAAGAATGACCATAATCGTAATGTATTATTGAGAACATGCGATTACTATCAATATATACATAATCATGTTTTTCGCTATTTCTAACCTATCTATCTATTGCGTCATATTGAGCTGCTGTTTCTTAGAATACGTATTTCACATCGTGCCATCAAAATAAGAATAGTAAAATCATCATTGGATATATAACACCATTCAAAACAGTTTTCGAATTAGAGTTGTTTAATTTATTTAATTGGATATTATAGCGTTTGTCAATTTTTGCACGTAATGTTATCTGGTGGATGTCGCAGGGAAGCAATGCGTAATCAAAATCGTGTTACTAACTTGATGTTGATCGCCTATTATTCGCATTGCGTTGTATGCATTGCTTTTGAGAATGAATTGAATTTGTTCTGTATTTCCGCGTCTTTTACTCGAAAGTTTTTATTTGAAAGTGAAATTCGCGTGCGAACAAATATCAGAAGTATCGAAAAATGTAACAAGTAATCGTCGCAGTTATCAGAGGTATTGAAAAATAACGGTTGTATTAATTAATACGTATAGTCGTTTATAACTGCATTTTTTAATTATTTTAATCTCGTATCATATCGAGTCGACTTCTTTGACTAACTGAATATCCTTTTGATCGATTTACTACGTTATATTATTACGTTTACTTCATGTTGTTTGCTCACTCAAAGTATCGCGAGTACGTGCGGTGGACGGTATGATAGCGACATCTAATGGTCGTGACAAAATATGTATTTTTGTAATGAACATTAGCTTACAATGATTAGCGCAATGTCGGTTAACATATTATTGTTTTTTGAATTTTTCTAAAGTGGAATCACGCGCATGTGAAAAGTATTCGGAGTGCTAAATAGATTGACGGCATATTTTGTAATTCATGTTACGGTCAAAGTGTGTTGTCGATAAATAAATGCCGAGAGTGTCGGGCTTATGTAATCGTAATTAGTTGCGTATTACGAATCGATTTGTATAGGCGATTCTCTGCAGCAAAGAAGCAACAAGATGACATCAATTGATTATTGACATCGGTGAGCATTTTTATAATTATATTATTTATTTTTTGCGCAACCACATGAGTTTATTCATTTTTATTTATTAATGATTATTATATACAAGGTGTCTTAAACTAACTATATTACCCGTTAATAGCAGATTTCTAAGGTTTCTCATATGATAAGGATATAAAAATTAATATGCGACATGCCTGAGCGCGTGAATTTTTGACAATTTGATTATTCAATTTTATTCACTATTTTATTTAATTAATTACTCAATTTTAAACACTTCGAATTTGTAGCCTTGATATTTTGATATAAAAATTTTTGTTTCTAAATGATCTTAGGAATCTGCTATTACCGGGTGATAGAGTTGGTCTAGGACATTCTATATATAACTTATATACCTAACTATAGTATTGTTTCGGATATCATTGTAATATAAATGTATTTATATTTTACAGATAAACTTTGTGCGCGTAATCGGTGCTACGATATATATTTGTTTCGTCATAATGTAATAAAATACGCGTTCCGTTTACAGTGAATCGTGCGATTTTCGCATTTGGGTACGCACGCGAGCAATGCGTGCGCCGCGAACGCGTGTGAGTGCCTCGTGTGAGTTCTCGTGTGAGGACTGCTGAGAGGTGAAGGAGGCCCAGAAGGCATCGACTACGGTAAGTAATTTCGTAATTTAATAAGTGTACATTTTTAATCTTAAAAGACACAATGTCATTTCTCTTCAAATTATCTTGTATGAGATTCTACAAGTTCAGTAAAAAAATTATATTTTCATCTCTACAAATGCGATAGTAGCAAAAAGTATATTATATTAATGTGCAAATATAAAATCTTGTACATATTCTCGCACATTAATTAGATTTTAACTCAATTTCCTTCAGGGTAAGTTTTATTATATTTTAACATAAACGCTTACTTGCACATATAAATTGTGAGATATTTTATTATGGCTCTCTCGCGATTTTTTCTCTCATGTCGACCACCTATTTTAGTACTCTTATAAATGATTGTCTCTTCGAATTGAGAATTATTTGCTCTCAAATGGCATTTTCTGATAATTATGCACGATAATAATAGTAGCAGTTATATGAATGCGCATCATTCAATGATAGTACCGTAATTCAACATCGTGATTGGAAATTTGAAAGCAGTAAAGTGTCGATAATCGCTGTTTTTCGTATTTGCGCATACTTCGACGTTAATTTCGTTAAATCCGAAACAAAAGCGAACACGGTTGCGATTTGGCGAATCGGCGTATTATGGTTATCGCTAATTAGCTCGCGCGGTATATTACACGCAGCAGCAACGGGACTTTTATTTTGTCGTGATTGCGCGCATCGCGGCCGTTGCCGACGTGATTCATGCGCCAGAGCGAAAATAATTTGTGGCGGCACCGGCGTAGCGATTGCGATTGTAATTGCTTGCGCATATCCCTGGTATATGAAGTCATACGTTTCAAATGTCCCCATAAAGCAGTTATATTAAATTGAGAGGGATCGCACAACCATCCGGTTACCCGATCGGGTTCGTCCTAAAATTTATCCGGCACATGATACACACTCGTCGAGATTCTGTCTCGTGCAGTTTTTCACGCGCTCTTCACACGTGGCCGCGTTCTTTCAATTTACCATCGAAATTCTGCAAATTTGTTGCAAATTTGGATGTTCGCCAAAATTCAAGTCCACCAGCAACGATATAACTATTACCGGTGATAACGTTATATGCATCAACAACCGATGAAAAGTTATAACGACGTAGTAGTTTTTTTTTAATGAAAAGTTTCTAATCGTTTTGTATAAATTTGCATTTATAAAACTTTGCTGGAAATAATTAATGCAATCCTCTTTAACCGTCTGTCGAGGAAATATTAATAAAAGCGTGATATTGATTTCTATTACATTTCTATTACATTTAAAATAACTTTGCCATTTTATAAAATACATAATAAGAAGTATTGACATATGGTATGAGTAACTTAGGAAAGAAACTTTTCATAATTATGTTAATGTTGTTTTGATAATTTATATTATGCATTAATGAATTTTAACTAACCGTTTTAAAATTGAAATTTCATAAAGAATAATGTTAATTGTTCAAATCTACTTTTTTTCTTTTATTCTGTAATATTTTCTTTATATATTTTGATCAGTGCTGACATGAATATTAAATCTTGAATTTTTTCTCATTTTTATTAATCAAATTAGAATATTCCTTATCCGACTCGTATTTTAAGCCTACTTTGTTAGCCTATTTTTTTATTTCTTTTTCAATTTACTTGTACAATTATATTTAATGGCTCTTGTCTTTTTAATTGTGAGGATTTGTACAATTTACCGACTGTTTTGGAAATGTTTATTAAAATTACATAAAAAGTCTGGTTTTTCCCTAATTTATGTTGACGGATGAGTGAAGGATAACATTTACGAATTTACTGCGAGAGTCATTGCAAGCGACGCTGCGGCAAAGACAGCGAACATTATTCCAGACTCGTTTATTTCGTGGAGGCCCGCAAAACCTTCACGAGATGCAGCCGTTCTTCACATTATCCTTCTCTTGCACGCTGCCGTAAATGCCTGAAACGCCGCTTTTGTTGATCCGTACGCTCGCGAGAAAACGAGCCTGCGGCGCGTTGCGGATTAAAGCGCGGAAACGCTATTCTGACATCTTTCTTGACTTCGCTTTGTCCCGTGCGGCGGGAGCTTTGCGTGCTTTCGTATGGGTCCTACGGAAAAGAATGAGAGAGAGAGAGAGAAAGACAGAATGGGTAGAAGATGCCGGGGCGCTGTTTAAAAGGACACAACGCGTTCGCCGCGTAATGAGGAGTGCCGTGCAAACTCCGACGAGAAATCGTTAGCGCTATACTCGTTAGAACGGTTAAACTCGTAACGCAATTATCCCAGTTATGTGCAAGATCTTGCTCGTTCGTAGTTCACATCGGGTATGTTAACTCTCATGTTGTCGTGTACGAAATCGAGCGACGTTCTTGTTGTTACGTCGCGAGCACTTCGCGAGCGGATCTCCTTAGAAATTCGCTTTCGCAGTTTCGTCTTAGAAGTGCAGGCAGTCGCGATAATAAATCGGGACAGACGGCATACATTAAAGACATAGGAACGAGAATGAAATACTGTAAAATGGAGTTATATCACGCTAGAAAAGATAATAATATGCTATTACTTAACACTTTTCGTAATATCCAAGAAAACAATATATGCTACTTTTTTATCTTCCACTCGTTTCTCTTTGAACTATTTTCTTTCAGTGTTTCGTACGGCGGAATTAGTATTCAATTCGGTTCATAGTCTGAATTGTGTAAGAGAATTTGCGATTCGTGATGAATTAGTACAGAACGGATTGAGCTAAAAGGGTGAAAAACGTATTTCCCGGCGGGGATTACCTAGCGCTAATGGAAATTGGGGAGATTATGAGAACGCGCGAGGAGAACATCTTAAATATGTCCTCGTAGCTGCCACGACGGAAAATTTGTGTCGCACTGCTCTCGCGGTGTCTTCGTAACAGCCGCACCGACACCGGTGTGCGCGGCCGCATATACGAGCACGGGAGTGCGTGTGTGTGTAGCCGGCCGTCTTAAGGTACAAACCCCGAAATTTATCGCCACTAAACACGACACCCCGAAAACCCGCCTCGGTACCTGTTCGCGAAATTGCGCGGGGATCCCGTAATACGTATCGCCGGGATCTCCACGATATAGAAGCTCCTTATTCGTATGTGCACGCGTCTCAACGTCAACAAAAGCGGGACGGACGAGCTCCTATACTACTGTCACTATGCTACGAAATTGACACGATTGCCCTGAGAATTCCATTTAAGTTATCCGAGATAACTCGGGTGTAGAGAGCCAGCTTTTAATAAAAATCTGCTTTTTTTTTCTTTGCAACATTAATTATGCTATATTTTTAATATAAACTTTTTGTTCATAAAATAAATATTAATTATGAATACTTAATATATGAAATGTTAGATTGTAACATAAAATTTGTAAAATTTGTAAAGTTTATTTGATATTGAAAATTTTGCCAGTCTGTTTCTTACATATTTACATATATTGCATATTCAATATTCTACACGTTTGAGTTCAAATTTATTTCTAAATATTTTGTAATATTATTTTAACAAAATATTACATTTTCTCGCAATTTATAATAGACCAGTGATTTATCGTGTGCTTAAAAATGGAATAAAAATTAAAGATTTCGCGAAATCATAATTTAGAACTGTTAGAAGCCATGTTAATAGAGTTATGCAAGATATTTGAAAATTAACATGAATTGACATAGATCCGAACGAAGCAACACGGGGTTAAAGATGTACAATGTACCTTACATTTGTGATAAATTTATGTTCAACAAAGATAATACTGAGCAGTCTATCAGTCGATTAGTATGCAAGGAATTATCTTTATAAATGTTTAACTCGATACTTCATTAATGAGATATTTAATATTGAACATTAGGGTTGGCAAATAGGGTCGATAAAGGGTCAAGCAAATAGGATTCTCACGCTGATTTTATTCCCTGAAGCGCAAGGTTAATTTAAGTTTTTTCCGATAATACGATGCTTATGTATGTTTTACATAATTGGGTTACTAGCTTACCGTGCAATCTGATATCCTGATATAGCCGCATAAATACATATGTATATGCTATAAAATTAAATAGTTTTAATATTTTAATTGTTATCGTAAAATATCTTTAGGTCAATCCAAATTTGGGCTAAACTCATGAAAGATAAATGGCGAATTGAGATGAAATAATTCAGTAACTACTGAAATGTTCTTCGATAATGAAACCAGTACGTAATATTTCTCTTGAGCCGTAATATTTTTGGTAGACCCGAGACAGCTTGTACACAGTTGTATACTTGACAGCAATGTATTATTTCTCGCTTGCACGGATTTACCGCTCGGTGCACAAACGGCAGACGGAAACGTCGGTGCACGTACACATCCGTAATAATGTTGATGAGTGTAAAGGCTGCGGAACGCGAACAATGAAATCGCTGCGGATTGCTCGAGTGAGCAGCTCCAGCGGCGTAAGTCCGGTAATATTTAGTGATAAAGCGATGGAGGTGAAATGAAGTGAACTATCTAAGGTATTCACAATACGTCCCGCGCACGTACAGACACAATGAATTATGATCTAGCGGCGCGCGATGTCAGTAGCTCTCAGCGTTCTCGCGGGACCACTCTACGTCTGTGTTTGCGTTTTACGCTCACACGTTTACCGAGCGTTTACTGCGTGCGAATTGCGTAATCACGGAACTCGCTCGGACTTTTTTATCATGACATTAACCCACGCTAGCAGGAATTCCGGATTATCCCGTAACGGCAAATTTTTATCATCTACATTTACTATGCACTATGCAAATGGGCGTGTAAAATGACTAATTAAAGGGCGTAAATCTCCGTTTTAAAACGTGTCGCGTGTAAGATAACAGAGTAGTCACTATACCTCGTTATTCACATTACTTTGCAGCCTTCTCAGATACTTTCTACACGATTAATTAAAAACTTATAACAGAATTAAATTGATATATATAATTTAATGAATATCTATTACATCGTAATTACTTAAAGTTGAAAGAAATCTCGTCAATTTCTAATTCATGATAGACATTATGTATCAACTACTTAAAATAT